GTTCAAAAAGTACGCTTCGCTCGTAACAGCAAACCCTGTGATGTTTCGTGTTCAATCGGCTAATCGATTGCAGAAAATTACAGGTTTCTCGATAAAACACGTATGTCCATTTCCAACGATATCTCGCGTCTACAACTTTCGAAAGATAATATTTATTAAATGAAGCTGATAGAAATTCGTTTGTTTCTAACAAATGTTCGTCTCGTGTTTAAATAATCTTCGCTGAAGGAGATCTTCATGCTGAACACTTTACGCTGCGGAACTTAAAATTAAAATAAAATCGAAACGGAACGGTATGCTTGCAAAATCGTAAAAAGTTTGTCGATTTTACTAAAATTTCACGGTTAATCGACAGTGGGAAATCTTTTCACGGCAACGCATCGATGTTGTTGTAAGTCGATCAAAATAATGTTGGCATTTTTATATAATAATTAAGAGGCGATAAAAATTAGATTAAATAATTAAAATAAAATTTTGGAGGCGATTTACAAGCAACCAGGTGAGTTAGTATTCACAGTGACATAATTCGATCAATATTTCGTGTAATTACACCAAGTGTGGGATGAAATAGTCGAGTAACGTGACTTTCAAGGGACACGTGCTTACAAATATCTGAATAATATTTCGCAAACATTTCGAACAACCTGTTGATTGGTATCGAAATATTCGAAAATTTTGCCAACAAATGGAAAGAAATTTCTAAACCTAAGCTCACGTTTCATAAATATACTTTGCTCGTTTCAAGCATTAAATTCATCGTCACTGTCTGAAAAGAAGCCTTCAAGTAATGAATTTCTTACTTAACGCTTTACTGACCGCTAGCGGTTCAACAGCATACGCACGTCCGACCGGCAAATTAGGCGCAGATTCTCCCTGGCGCCGGCTCTGTTTCGCTTTAGACTCTCCAATACCATTCTTTTCGTTCATCGCGAACGCTACGTGTTTCAAATTGGTATAAAACTGTGTGAGCTTACAAAGCAACGCAACTGACGCAACCGAGCAAGGTGCCTTAGTACCAAATAACAAATTACTGTTCAAATAATGAAAAAGATAGTCGGCGACAAAAAGCCGATTAATAGGCTGTCGGTCGGTAAACGTCGGCGACAAAAAGTCGATTAATAGGCTATCGGTCGGTAAGCGTCGGCGACAAACAACCGATTAATCGGCTATCGGTCGGTAAAGCGTTGATCATTGGCAAGCGTACGCGTGAAAAACATTCAACTGAAAATTAAAACCTCAACTGCGAGCCATAACTGAAATTTCTAGCCCGATCAATAAATCTGGCTGAATGACTGCGCAGAAATTCGCGTTTTCGCAAGAAGATGCGAAGCAGACTTAACAAAACTGAAATAATCAACACGCTTTGCTCGTTGCTCGAGCTTTCGGCAAGCCTCTGACCGGCTAAATAATCGAAATGTGAAACGTGAAATAACTATATCGAAGCTGACGTACAAATTTGAATATCTTTATTCATTGATATCTTCGCGCTGACAATTAAAAGGTCGCATACAGTTAACGTGGATCGGAATATCGATACAAACGCACCGGTTCCAAATCATCAGAAATTGTAAACACACTTACGTACTTGCACGTGTATCTGTGTCGATATCCCGAGCCCGGTGATTACCTATATTAAATATCTATCGTTAATTCTTCGAAACCAGCTGTCCATCGTTCAGACAGCTGTTTCTCTAAGTCTTGTTTTTACGTTTACATTCGAGAAAAGGAGCTTGATCTTGTCAAAGTTTGAAACGAAAGTACAAGTACTTAACATCGTTACGTAGACGATTAATCGACAAATTTGCTGACAGATTATTCGTTCTTTTAACTAGTTGTTGGATGATGCTTTATGGATGCAACAAATTTTGTAACACATATTCTTACGCAAAGAAATCATCATACGAATTTCTTTTTTTTTTCTATTTTCTTAAAGTACCTTCTTATTCCCGTTGAGAATGGATCGATTATGGAAGTTACAGTAATTTTTCTGATTTAACCTCGTTTTACGTTTTATATCCAGACGCCTGTAAAACGATTTCGTCGACACGCAAAATTTCTTCGAAATTGATCGAAATTGTCAGGTGTCTCTGCAGTTGAATCCTCCATGTGTTCGACATATTTCGTTCGAAATATATTAATTTGAAATATTGTTTCACATTAACTCTGCACTAACACTAATTCTTTAAAAATTGTTTAAAAATTGTTTACAAATTGCCACTCTGCAAAGAACGTCGATACAATAAGAAAAAGAAGAAGAATATGAGGCAAGGTGGAACTGCCGTTTATTTTGCATCGCTGTGCTTCCTGAAATGCTGAAAGCAGACAGACGTTTGCACGACACCAACAAGTTACAGTGAGTTGATGGCGCCCCCATGCGTTCACCGACCATTTTTCTGTTTCTAACGATCCTGATCTTATCTTGTACCATCGTTTGAACATCAACAGGTAAGTGACTGTTCTCGATCGAATGTCTGGAATATTATCAAGTGAGCAATTGCTTGAGCTATTTAAGCTATGAACGTTGTTCGTAAACGAATTAAGACATCGAAATAATTTTTTACATAAAATTTCTGTACTTCTGTAATTGTGATATACAAAAGAAGGACAGAGCGACAAAGTGGAAACAATTGTACAAAAGAAATAGCTGCTATGGTAAAGCAGCTGCAGCCATTGATGTTGTCAAAACCACATTGCACAGAGCCCTGGGTCTATCTCGAGAATATTCTCAACCAATAGAAGCCTTCCAAACTGTGTTTTCGCGGAAGTATTAGTATTTCGTTTAAAAGAAATGGAGAGCCTATTATTTGGTCTAACAATAATGAACACACCCAAATATTAGGTTGTTCCAAAAGCTTCTTTCGTTTAATAAGGAAATACTAGATGCACATCATTCTTTGTTTTATATTATTTTATTGAATTATAAGTAATCTGTTCTATTGGGACAAAATAATTCAATAAAAGAATATTATAAAACGAAAGATGTTGCACATTTATTTCCTTGGAAAAAGAAGGAAACCTTTGGAACAACAGGTGCGTCTCTTACAAGACACTGACGCTGTCTTTAAAATTATTTTTTCTTTTTTTTTTTTGCACTTTCCGTGTCCAGTTTCGAAAGTTTATTTCGTGATATTTCCATAAACAGATATTGATAGTATGTGTATATTTTTTACAGATCAATTAATAAGATCAAAATATCAAGAAATAAATTTTGAGGCAATTTTTTCCTAGCGTTCCCGTGTCTCCCCAATCCTCCGTTTTGCGTAATTGTGCAGGACACAATTGGAAACACAAGAATAGAATTATGCGACGATAGCAATGAAAATACTATTACAAAAGCTAGATTTGTCCATGGAGGATTGAACAGTATTCTTAAATGATATCGATCTTGATTAAAGTGCCAAAAAAAAACTTTTGGCTATATTGCTCCTTAAACGTGATTTTCATTCCATGAAATATGACTTGAAACGTTTTCCTAACATTTCGAATGTGTAGCGTTGTGAGATTTGAAATGCACACGGTAAATTAGGAAAATATTGATCGTGTAAGAAAGAATCATCCAACAAATATTCACATATTTTATTAGAAAAAACGACTTACGGAGTAATTATTGGTAGATTAGTGATATAATCAATCGTTAACTAAAAATATCTACACTCGTCTGGCTTTCAGAAATAAATGTAAGCATATAAAAATCGTCGTAAAGTCGAATTTAAAAAAAAATGCGGTCGTTCACGTTCGCGATTGTCAACTTAAAGAATAATATCGAAGAATTAAATAAGATAGGAACTCAAAATAACGCAGAAACATTTGAGCGTTTCGTTAGAGCGCGTTTAACAGAATTTTATACAGAAAATTCGCGGACATGTGAAACTTGTTCCGAATAAACGACGTTCGATCGGACAATCATTTAATCAAACACTTTATTAAGTATCGCGGTAAGAATTTTTCTCGGTTAATCAATTAACCAAAGAAACGATCAATTAGTTAGCTAAGCGATTTCATGGAGAATCGAGAAAGGAACTTTGTCGATCGATTTTTTAAACAATTTGCAGTTAAATTCGTTTGAACTTAATTCACATCCGTTACCTTCAACAATAAATAATTAATTCGTATACAAAGAAGAATTGACGTTTAATACGTTTCCATTTCTATTCTGACAAACTCATAGAAGCTTAATTATTTATTGTTTACAATTATGTGGAATACAAAACGTTTTACTCGTCGACACTTCGCAGTTTCGAACATAATGTTTTCTATAAATTACGTTCGCAAAATAACGTAGAAAAATACACGCAGCTTCTGCGTCTCGCAGCGATAAACAAAACGTTACATCGAACTGCAAAACATCCATACAGTTGTTGCTCTCTGTTCTTATCTCGTAGTTCAATCTGTACAGATAATTGCTCGTCTTAATTCTTCAATTATTCAGCAATTACTTAGTAAAATATTGTACGACACATTCTTCGAATATCCACCTTTCTGTTACGATCGTAACAAATCGTAAAGATTCAGAGTGTTTGTGCTACAAGTAAATGGGCAATGATCAACTCTCAAAGAGACAACACTAGAAATGCAATGAAAAATGCACTTATTAGTACTTTAATAAGCTAATACTTATCTCCTATTTATCACGTATCCGTTTACGAAGTTAGAAAGAAAGTAATAAAATAATACTACGATGAAAGCTACAATGTCATACTTTAAAATAAATTACACAGTTTCAAGCAAATTAACTGATTTAGGACATCCACAATGGTTTTCTGAATTCATCGTAGTTGATCTCTTAGAATTATCGATGATTTTATATACTGTTTACGTTTCGTTCACTGGGTATTCTGAAACCTAGTATTTCAGGTCATGTGCACATTCTTTATGGACCAATCGGTGCCTCTGACCGGCCAATGAGAACCGTCTTCTGGTCACCCGGTCCCGACTGGACCAATGAGAACGGCCTTCCAATGATTGGCTAATCAGAGACACCGCTTTCACCATAGCAAGTACAAAACATAACCTAAAGCGGTGAGTTTCAGGGTAAGCCTAGAGAAGTTCTTAAATGTCGGCTCACAAAGTAATATACAGTGTAAGTCAGTTGACATGACAGTCATGAGTCATGTGACAGCTACGACAAAGGTCGTAGTAGACCAAAGGATACAGTACACCAAAATAAGAAGGAATTTCGAATTACAGCTTAATTTGCAACGCTAGGCATTGCTTAGATCGGCAATTTCCTGGCGAATGGTCGTGCTGGTCTTATTTCCTGACCAGCTCGCTTTCCGGATCTGAATCCATTCGATTATTAGTTCTGAGACATTAGAAATCTTTTGTTCATAAAACTTCAATCGACAGTGCTGAAATTCTTCGTCAGCGTGACGACCAAAGTTGCCGACAAATCCGCGTAAACATTTAGGACAATTTCGACGATATATGACGCGATGCATTCATGCTTCTATGTGAGCTGTATCTCTGATCACTTGGAGCAATTGGTCTGAACATAGGTAAGCGACCATTACAATATAAAAGAAGCTGTCACTCGAAAACGAGATCATATCAGGTATATACGTTCACGCGGACTTTTCTTCTTATTTTAGTGTGCTGAAGCAGTCGCTGCTGCATTAATACACCCTGTGAACAGCTACATACATATGTATGTGGCCAATGTTCTCAGTATGCCTAGCAATATGATCTTTGATCTTACGAAGTCTACCGGCGCTCGCTGTATAACATACAACTGCTGCATATGTAACATAATTGTATAACGTGTTACACAGAAGTGTTGTGTAACGCGTCTTTTTTTAAGGCGTTATACAACTTTGCTGTACAAAGGTCCAATTGCGCGCAAGCATGAGCTGATTCTCTATGAAAAAGTAAGAAGAAAACGTGGATAAAAATACATAGAACGGTGGCTAAAGCGGAATATCCTCAATAGGAAGGAAAAGGAGGCAGCTAATTGCAAGTGGAAAATGCAGAAAAGGAAAGAAATCGTTTGGTAGAGGAAAAAGGAAAAGGTGTTCTACGTAATTTAAAAATAGCCGCTTTAAAACACTCATTAAAAGATTGCTAGTAGAAACTACTGTTACTCCAAAACAAAATCATATCGAGCATATATTTACATAAACTTTTCTTCTTATTTTAGCGTGCTAAATCAGCTTCTGCCGCGCTTCACACATGTTCTGACTCATCCTGCGTAACACGATTGATAAGCAACTACGATGAATTCAAAGCAAGCTACACGTTTAGATAAAAAATTATTCGTTTACAAGCACATACATGTTCCTTTTTTGAAATTAAAATTAACCGTACATACAAGGAATAGTTGATTTCGGCAGATACACCGCAATTATCTGTCTAGACAGACTCCTAAGTACAAAATTGTATTTTCATTTGTCATTCACATTAGTATAGCGAAGAAAGGAAAGGAATCGATTATTCAGTCGTTCATGTGAATAGTTATGAATCATTCTTATTTTTATATACCTACGCTATGTCACTCGGGACAGTTTATAATAATAGATTCTAATAAATAAATTTCCTTAGATTAAAGCGTGAAAAATTTCTACATCAGAAGCGAGAAAATCCGAAGAAAATCCACTCGGAGTGTATTTCCTCTATGTACATGCAATGTTTTGTTCTGAATGAGAAAATACATAAAAAATTTCAATTCCAATTCCTTCATTTCTCTTCACTTCATATTGTTCACTCCTTGTAGAAATTTTAGAAATAACCTCAATACAAATACGAGCGCGTAATTTACGGAATTCTTTAATTTCTTTAATTATTCGAACGAATTCGTTTCATAGATTTCTTGCAAAAAAAAAAGGTCAATTTCGCATTTTTGAAAAATATTTCTATCCGGAATGTCACATTGCCGTTAAAATGATTTTTGTACCCGATAATTTCCCATTTGAATCTCCACAGAAATTGAACGTGATAATTCCCGTGTTTATTGAACAAGACTTTTCCTTTTATTTTCGTTTTGCAAAAAATCTATAAACCCGTTTGTTATTCGTGTTTCTCGTAAAAATTCTACAATCTAATTTTTATGACTTTTCGGTAAAAACTTTTGCATCTAATATGTTTGCAATTTTTTGCAAAAATCTGGGATTACAATATTTGCAACGACTCCTGCAAAATTGTCAAAGGCTAAAAAATTTAATATTCAGCGTTCCCCTCTGAATACGTAGTTGCAAAAAAATTGCAATTCTAACTTTCTTCAGTTTCTTTGCGAATGTTCTAAAATCTAAATGTTCTTAATCTTCCTGCAAGACACTTCTCCCTAGTTCTCCCTCTAAAGTCATACATTTTTGCAGAAACCTGACAAACATTTGAACGTAGTAGTCTTCATTAATTTCTTTATTATTAAGAATAAAGAATATTATTAATAGTAATAATAGTATCATTAATTTCTTTATCAGTAGCATCTTCTATTTTCCGGAGAAACATACTTCTTCCTTTTTCAAAAATTCCCTAAACTACCAAAAATCCCAGTTTTTTCCCTCGCTCCTCGTTATATTCATCGCGTGACTTTAGTAAAAATTAGTAGCCCCAATTGCTTCTCCTTTCGATACTCAAAAATCTCCACATACCATGTGCTCGAATGTTTTTCCAAAAAGAACTCCGAACAATAAAAACGTTCTGCTTCAATGTTTACATTAAAAATCGCTGAAAAAAGTTGCGAGGAGATTTAATGTTTTGCAAAGAAGCGCAACAATGTACGCTTTCTGCAAAAGCAATTTCCGATAATATTTGTCAGAATGTTTCTCGTGAAAATGTCTGCAATTAGGATTTTTCGCTTTCACACGAAACTTGTCTCACTTTTTGTTGAAAGAAAGTGAAAAGGACTTCACCCAAGTAGATTTGCAAAAAACGTTGCATCATGTGATTTGTATTACTTTGGATTCTCGTTCGGCGACTTAATTTTCACTGAAATTAGCAACCGGCCTCTTATCCAACGCATAAAGCAATAATATACAGCTCGGCTATTAGCCAGGTAATTTTTACTTTACTTTTAGATAAATATCAATAGATAGGTATCTTATTTAATAGTGCTTTATCTCATATTAAAATGGTTCATATCAACTTGTTTTTTTTTTCTTTTTAGAAGTTATATTCAAATGAAATATATATTTGAATAAACGAAAACCATAGCAAGACTGATAATTCAAGAGAAATATTTACACGTCTAATTTAAAGCTAATTATAATATTCCTTCAAATCGTACTAAACTATAAGTACGATTTACGACGATAAAGAATGAAATTAGAAATTTCATTAAGATGAAAATATTTCAGTAGATTGTATTTGTAATTGAAATCCATTGTATAATCAAGAAAGAGAGAGAAAGAGAGAGAGAGAGGGAGGGAGAGAGGGAGATGTTTCCCATAATTGAAAGACCTGAATTTTAAATTAAAACTCGAAATGTAATTACACATCTTTCACGAAAAAATTACTCCATTATATTTATTGGGTTTTTACCCATTCCACATAATTAATAACTAAAGTGAATCATTATAACAAATGACGAGAAATATAAATCGTGATTTAAATTACAAATCTTCTGGATTAATTTAATTGAAGATTCTTTTCACAGAAAGTAACCTAATTTCCAATAGTAGCAATTAATAATAGTCATTTTCAATGCTCTATGTTCGTATTCTGTCTCTCATTAGGAAATCGCGAACCTAATCGGCAAATGCAATCTATATTTTCGTAATTCGATCATATTTATCATCCTAACTTCGCTAAATATAAAAACTAATTGGAACGAGAGGAGTAATTAAGACTAAGAAAAAAAAAAGAAAAAATAAATCACATTTCCAATCGAACGTTTAACAAACACAGGACTCACAGCATTATTCGATCTATTAATTGTCTTCGTACAATTCGCGTAACACGTTTAATTAAAAGTAGCTATAAAAATCACATTATCGATAATTTCACGTAAAAATTAAAGAAGAAAAAAAAACACATAATTATAGAAAATTGCACGAAAGTTGCATATATCCCTATGCTTTCACTTTAATACTGATGCACTAACTACACTTACGCTCGAAAGATTGCACTATCGACTACCTCACCTTTACAGTTATAAAAATCACTATTAAAAAATATAGTGAAATACTGGTCGTTTGAGTACGCTATCGAGTAGAAAATTCCTTACGTTAGATACAAGAGTGATAGACGTACATATTTTAAAGAAGAAGAAGAAGAAGAGATAGGAAAGAACGAAGAGATATAAGATTAATTTTTAATACGTAATATTCGTAATTAGTAAGTTGTACGGTCGCAATTTCAGTGAACTATACTTCTCTTACCTACGAAATTCTTCATACAGTAATTCTCATTCTCGTATTGGAAAATTTATCTGTTCGTTTAGTATATCACCTAGTTTCACCTTTAGTTTCTCTTTCCCCTTGGTTCTACACTTTGTGTCAAAAAAAGAAAATAATAATAAACGTGCGTTATACATTCAACGAATCTAGTATAAGCCTGCTGCCTTTTTACAATAAGCTTGGCCATTTGGTCTTTCAAATTTTCCAAATTTTCCAAATTTTCCAGCAAACCATCAGCATTTGTATCGATCAGTTAACTAATCCGAGAGCTCATCAGACTGTTCTCGGAATTGTCAGGTGAAGCTATTCAAAATCGCTATGTACAAATTTGTATTCTCAACCCTTTGCACTCCTGTGTCGAGTGTGACTCGACATCAGCAGCTCCGTTGTCGAGTGTCAGTCGACATTCTTTCAGTGCCACCTTTTTTTTTGTGAAACGTGCAAAAGAAAAGGAGGATTACATCCTGGAAATTGTTCCAAGATATATCATACACTTAAATACCAGTTTTGTTCACATTATTGTTGTATTTTCTAATTTTTAAGTGAATTTCTTTCTTCCTTTATTTATTTAAATTGTCTTAGTTTTTAGTTAAAGTAAATAAAACACTTAAAAGCGTTAGCAGATGCTAACGAAATTGAAATGAAATTCTGAGTGCAAAGGGTTAAAGATCAAGCACACTCGACTATCGTCGTTTAATCAGTTGCTTCTTATCGAACACACGGTAGAACCTGCAGCACCCTAACATCCATGCAAATATTTTTATCCAAATGCAAAAATTATGCAAATATCCGTCCAATAATTTACCTACGGCGTGTTCAGTAACCAACGACATCGTCAGTCCAATTTGTCGAATGTTCACGTACAAACAAATCGTAAAGACTCGAGGATGATATAAATGAAAAAAGAAAAAAAAATCAAAAGCAACTCGAATGCTCTACTTTCAAAAGTATTGTTCCATGAATTTATATATATATATGAGTATACAGGAAAGTGATATGAAATTGTAGACAGGATGTATAACAGTGAAGGACAGAAGTATTGTTCATGGACTAATACTTTTGAAAGTAGAGTATACTTGAACAATTCATGGAACAATACTTTTGAAAGTATATATATAAGTATACAGGAAAGTCATACGAAATTGTAGACAGGATGTATAATAGTGAAGGTCAGAAGTATTGTTTATAGAACGATACATGGAACAATACTTTTGAAAGTATATATATAAGTATACAGGAAAGTGATATGAAATTGTAGGCAGGATGTATAATAGTGAAGGTCAGAAGTATTGTTCATAGAACGATACATGGAACAATACTTCTGAAAGTATATGTATAAGTATACAGGAAAGTGATATGAAATTGTAGGCAGGATGTATAATAGTGAAGGATAGAACTATTGTTCATGGAACAATACTTTTGACAGTAGAGTATACTGGAACAATACATGGAACAATACTTCTGAAAGTATATATATAAGTATACAGGAAAGTGATATGAAATTGTAGACAGGATGTATAATAGTGAAGGTCAGAAGTATTGTTTATAGAACAATAGAGTAGTATACTGGAACAAGTATAGTAGAGAGTACTGGAGTAGTAGAGTATACTGGAACAATACATGGAACAATACTATTGAAAGTATATATGTAAGTATGCAGGAAAGTGATATGAAATTGTACACAGGATGTATAATAGTGAAGGTCAGAAGTATTGTTTATAGAACAATACTTTTAATAGTAGGGTATACTGGAACAATACATGGAACAATGCTTTTGAAAGTATATATATAAATATACAGGAAAGTGATATGAAATTGTAGACAGGATGTATAATAGTGAAGGATAGAACTATCGTTCATGGAACAATACTTTTGATAGTAGAGTATACTGGAACAATACTTTTGAAAGTATATATATAAGTATACAGGAAAGTGATATGAAATTGTTATATATATGTTAAAGTCAGGTTGGCATTTTGGGGCGTTCTATGAACCTTTACTTACTTTACCGTCGCGAATGTAGCTAATATTTATCAGTACGAATGTGGGCACTACAAGAGGCTATGAGTAATGACGATAGGATGATAGTGACAACGAATTCAGGTTCGATAACGAATCCACGGTCCATGGGAGGACAAGTATCAACGTAATACTCGATTCGGCTAACTTCTCGATAACTCAATCAGCAATTCGTCCAACGACTAACTAACAAACTAACTCTCCCTTAATCCAAAAGAAACTGCCCTTATATACTTCTGTCCCCATCTCTCGGGTCAATCTTTGTTTTTAAGGAGCGCCATATAATCATTTCGTACCTCTGTCAGGTACACGTCCTTCCCGTGACCGTGGCTACATCCAGTGACCCGCTATGTCATTTCGAGCCCGAACCCATCGTCATAAAGTCAGATTGGAACATTAAAACTATTCCTTATTTTTATTACTTAAGTGCAGCTATAGTAAAAGTCTGGACTAGAGTATTGGGGTTTTTCCCAACATTCCGCACGGGAAATCCCGCTGTCCTTCCATCTCCGACATATATATTATATAATATATGTAATATATATAATATATATAATATATTATATATTATATTTATATAATATATATTATATAATATATGTAATATATATTATATATATTACATATATTATATTTATATAATATATATTATATATATTACATATATTATATTTATATATATATTATATTTATATAATATATATTATATAATATATGTAATATATATTATATATATTACATATATTATATAATATGTATTTTTATTATATATAATATATAATATATATAACAATTTCATATCACTTTCATGTATATATATAATGTGTTTAAATAATAAAATAAATAATAACAAAAAATGAAAATCTTGTGTGTAGTAAGCAAATTAGGCAGAGGGCAAACGCATTGCACTGAGCGTTCAAGGGGAAAGAAAGCTGCTGAGAGAAGTCGGAAAAAGGTGTGGAAATGTTGCAAAAATCACGAACGTTTACAACGTTAAGAGACATACAATTAATATAATATAAATTGTCTGTAATATGATCGATATAATGAAAAGCAAAAACGTGCGTGTTTTGAGAAGTAGAAAAACTTCGATGGACTTGAAAAATAAATACCTATGCTCTGTTGTATAGTAATACTAATAAATCAGCAACAAAGAGACGCTAATATGTAGCGTATGAAGATGTTTTGGAGTTTGGATAAATCATATCATCAACGTTTCAAATCCTCGTGTTGAAAAAAAGAAGATTACAGTGAAACTGACGACGACAAAAGCCTTCTTATTTGGAAACGTTTTTGACATTAGAGAAAGATATCTTAATTAGACGATTTGAGGCATAAACAGAATATAATTGGACTACACAACGCGTCTAAAGACAACATTTTTCCTGATGGAATTCATCGTTTGTTTGATTGATCTCAATTGAAAAATAATCGAACAATTAACGTTATTATTTTTTAAGTAGAATTTTTTGAATTTCATCGAGGTGATTGGATTATTCATTCGTGTGATAATATAATATTTGATGTTATCAAAACTCTCTCAGCTAATTCGAGTACCGCAGGTTCCACTGTATTTCGTTCGATGCAAATTTAACTTTCGCCAGCTACCTTTTTACATTAAGCTTCGCAGTATTTCAAGAGAAGCTTTCAAATTTTCCAGCAAGCCATCGACGCGTTTACATTGACCAACCTGCCAAAATGAGCTGATCAGAATTTTGCAAAATTATCGAAATATCATAAGGTCAAAGAGAAATTGTAATTCTTAAAAAGAGAGCAGTTTTAACTTGCCTTATTTAATTAGTTTCCCTGTTATCGTATACTTTAGTTTGAGCGTAGAGTTCAGTTTCAAGCGCTTGACGCTTCAGCAAGCAGCTTAACTCGACAAGCAACGTAACTTCCTTTTTTGACACGTCAGAGAAATTTTGTCGAACCTCGTAAATTCTTCGTAAAACTTCAATTTGACTAGATTTTATCCTTATGAATAATTAAACAAGCTAACTACCATCCTTTTCCAAATAGAAAAACTATATAGCGTTCCGAACGAGAAACCAATCCTCCTTCCTCTTTTCGTTAACCCTAAGCCCTAACACTATGGTTAATTACTAGCTGTCGAGTACACGAATCGCTGTAATTTACAATATGTACAACAACTAAGCGAATGCACTTTCCTTCGAAAACAAAAGGAGTCAGATAGGACAAGAACGAAGAGAAACTTAAAAATTGAATGGGAAAAACTCGTCCCAATGCATCCTGCGAACATTTCGTATGATCGTTAGCAATATTCGGAATAAATAACGGGGAAAATAAATAATAAGCGAAACGAATCGATATTAATGAAAAAACGGGAATGTTAACATCCGTAGCTACTCGTCGAATCTCTGACTATACTCTTTTGTTTCTTCGACTGATAAAAGGAAATCTAGTTGAATCGAAAATTAGAAAGTTCGCGGCTTTCGAATAGAAACCTGCATAGTAAAATTTCGAATGAAATGATTGCAACCTTAAACCTATCTGGATCAGGACAATTTCATTAGTTTGCTCTAAGTTATTACCTCGCCGGTAATAGAAAATTTGTCCAACTTTCTAAATCCCAGATTCCTTGACCCTTTCAAGTTTCAAAAATATTTCTAATTTCTAGCCCGACGTTTCCCCATCTTTTTCTTTTTCCTTTCTTTTCTTTTCTTTTTCTTTTTTTTTCTTTTTTCTTTCTTTTTCCACTTCGGATTTGTCATGTTCGCTCCTCGAACTCGAACAAGCATCTCAACTTTCCAATTTTCAAATCGCCCACCGATCAAATAAACCGTTTGAAAAAGAAACACGGGGAATGAATGGTGCGAAAAGGTGCTTTCTCCAGACTTAGACGTTTCCCAGATAACGAATTTTCCTGTAATTTCTTCGGTTTTGCCATTAATTTTTTTTCGTAGTAATTTGTTGATTATTCGGCGGTTTTTTTTGTTTCTCTTTCTCTTTGTTTGGGAAAAATGGAAAAACTGCATTGTCTATTGGAATGTCTCAATTAATCAATTAATCAATCAATCAACTAATCGGCTGATCGTTAATATCACTTTTAATGCCCAGCGAAAGATTGCGAGTTAGAAAAATGACTTCCCTGTAATTGTCTGCTTCGTTTCGTTTCCTTTTTTTTTTTTTTTTTTTGCCTCAAATCATCGATTCTCAGTTTCTTTGCTTTACTCGTTCTATGTATTCTATCTCTGTGGCTCGCTGTTTCATTCTGCCTATGTGCTGTATGTGTGTGTATGATATATGTATATGAACATGAATCTCGGTCTAGGGAGCCAATCGATCGATTATTCTGTAAACAAATAATCAAATTGCTACCACAACTGATCCTCTGTCGTAAAACAAAGACCGTGTAATATTTCTGCAATGGAAATATTATCGATCTTTTCGAACTAACATTTTCATCAAAATCTATCATATCGAATCGTACAATGTGATATTTCAATTTAGAAGAACGCAAGAAACTGATAATGTAGGGAAAATATTTACAGTTTACGCTTTCAACGAATCATCGTATTATACGTTGCAACAAAGTGAATCGAAAGGTATCGAATCGTACGATGTAATATTTCAATTAAAGAAAAGAAAAGTATATACGAATAATGTAGGAAAAATATTTACAGTTTACGCTTTCAACGAATCATCGTATTATACGTTGCAACAAAGTGAATCGAAAGTTTCTGGCAGATGTGTTTTAGATCGAAAAACTCAAGACAGGTGTCACTCGATGTTATTAACAAACGAAGTAAAAATATCAATTAATTGAATTGGACTAACAGTAAAGACTCCATAGTTGCTCGCAAGTAGCTGCAGCTTAATTGCTGCTTGCTTATCCCCACCAATGGCGGGATTCCCCTTTGAACCATCGACGCGAGTAACGTGACGCGTCAACTTCTCTTCGACGCTAATTTCACGGAACGCGCGTTCTTTTGACGCATTTCGAATTTCACGAGGAAAATTACACAAGCCGTGTACGTTCTTCTTGTACGGTTTCTACCGATTTCTATCCATTCGACGATACGAATATACATGGAAATTCATTTTCCTCGAAGCTTCTCTACCTGGTGTACCTATCTCTACGGATACGCGTCGATTTGACATAATCGTAAAGTAAGTTTGTAAATTGGTTTAGAAAGATAATAATACAATTGAATAATATCAATAATAATTTAACAATATAATTAGAAATATGAATACGATAAACGAGCCAGCTGTTGACGAAAGTGAACGCCGGAAGTGAACACGAAGAATACAGCGACCATACTTGCGACAAAATTTCTCAAATTTCTAAAAAAAAAATTTCTCAAATCTCGAGTGGATGAAATGCTGTTTCACCTTGTGTATTCGCCTTGGAAAACCTTAGGCAGAACAGAGCAATAAGCTCGGAAGAAGAAACGAAACTCGGTATATGAGTCGCGTAATTGCAAAAATCGCGCAACCAATTGCAGTTGCAGCTGTTCAAATTCAACTTATCGCTTCAAATTCTCACAAACTGCCCTTCTCTATGCGTCCGAATATGTCTATTGGTTTGGCAACTAATTGATTGTGGATTTTGTCATTAAGTGGTAGCGACAGATAGCGTCAGCAGTTCCACTTGATCATCGACAGAAACATGTTGCAATATAGAAAATGTTGCACCGAAGCAGAGACACATGGTGTCTTAAAAAGTGATTGGACAATTTCAATGGCTAAGTCAGTTGCTTTTATTGCAATTTTGTAAGTTCAGGCAGCAAAGATACTGAAAGGTCTTTATTTATGGCGCGGAAAATGGCCAGTCGCTTTCTTCTCGACCACAATGCCAAGAGATGAATTGATGCAAATTCTTCGATTTGATAAAGGTTTGATAAAAGAAGGTTTACGTACAAAATTCAGCACACGTGTAAAAGATGCGCGGAATATATATGATGACATATAATGTTGGACATTATAAATCCTATATATCATCGTTTCATTTATAAATCAACAGCGTATAATTATATTGTCTTCTTTTTTCAAGAAAATTTATGATTTTGTTCATACGTCAAATCGACGCGTAGAGATAGGAATATATAGGAAATGTGAGTAAACCTAGCGTTGAAGATCTGTTTCGTGTTCGTTTCAGCGAGACGATACTAGCGCCAAGACGAAGCTTTTTCGTTTTAAATTTCTCGCCAATCGCATTGTGTTGCGTTGGAGTTTCTCTTTTACGTGAAAAGGCCAATTACTGACTTCCATCTCGAGAGGTTCTGTCTCGAGATAAAGAAAATTACTTTTCTATTATATCGGCTTCTCTTATACTTGAAAAGGCAATCATTGACTATCTCAAAATGAAAAAAAAGATGAAGAAGAGATAACTGACTGTCTCAAAATATGAAATAAAAATTTTCTCGAGTCCTATCCGACCAATCAGGTACCCGGGTACTCGCAATCAGAAAAATACCTGACGCAACCTGCTCGAACACTCTACTCGTGTCACCCGATGTTTACAATATTTCGAAGAATTTATATTTCTGAGTCAATCGAATATCTAAATGAAATATCTTCATTTTTGTACCGAAATATCAACAAGTTAAAGTTCTCAGCAGGTAGGCTGGCTGGCTTCAACATTCCACATATTTCCAGCTGTTGAAAACACATTGGCAAAGGTTGCTAAAATGTACTTGCGTATACAAGTTGCAAGCTCTCAACCTGTAGTTCCAACAGCTGACAATATCGTCAATGTATAGCCTAACAACATACTACTCGAGAATGTTGATTCGTTGGCATTTCCGTACAGAACTAAAAATGTCTACTTTAAAATGATCGTTTGACTGTCTATCAAAAACACATAGATAGAAACATTGTGAACGCCTGTGACACGAGTAGCGGTACTCGAGTGAAACATAGCAAGCATCCGAGTAGCGATAGCTCTACTCTCAGCTATCTCATCTCTGTGGACAAGAACAGTGATAAAGCACGTGGCTAAATTTGAATCATTGCAATCAGCCGCGCTGAGAATAGCTGAGAATGCAGCGCGGTGTATCAGCAGCGAAAGTTTAAGGAAACAGCCAATTAGGCTACCAACGATCCAAGAGGAAATTAAGAGGAATGGAACGAAGCGTGAGAAAAGAGTCGCACAGCGTCCTAATCAACTAGCCCTGCAGGCCTACAAAGCCAAGACTAAACGAAGATGAAAAAACAAGCATCCTACTGACCTGCTAATCTCATGAGATGATACAAGATGACATGTTCTTTTTCCTACCGGGAATAGTCATCCAGGTGACAATTTATAAAGAATATGGAAGAATTTACCGAATGTCCAATAGGACAAACTGTAGAGAGAAATAACTAAGTTTAGAAAGAGAAGCATGTCATGTACCTGGTAGTGATGTTTCTCACCCAGGCATCTCATAAGTAGACTGCTGGTTCTTACGCAATTACAGTTGAACTGGAAAGCGTATGATATGGAAAAACATGCGAGATAGCCAAAGTATAGTGTCATAATATTTAGCGATTGAAATAAGTGTTTCATTAGGTTCCGTTTCTTTAATTGTAGGAACAAACAAATATGAATTTGCATAAGTCCGCAGTCTGCTCACAAGTAACAATTCTACTTGAAAGTTATTGAAATCCTACACATTTTTCTGCTTGTCATTCGCTGAAATGAACACCATACAGCTACGAATAGGTCGAGTTGCTCTTTACTTCTATTCTTTTCTTTTTGCCAATTCTCAGCTTTTATGGAGACTTTACTGTATCACCTAATCGACGAGTGCTCGTGGAAAACATTGCAAGTGCCAAGCAACAGATACTCGGGAGGAGAAGAGAACTTATAGTATTGATATAACGCAAATTCATGAAGAAGAGAAGTGTATCTTCTAGGAAACTCAATGTTCCATTCAATTGAATGAAGACAGATGGCATAACAAAAGCTAGGAAACAATTATCTGCTCTTTATTAGCATTCATATGTTTTTGCATAGAGATGAGGTTGTCACGTCACCTTTGAGCATTATTAATAACAATTTAGAAAGACATTGCACTTGAATTCCACGCTACAGCATTCTCATTGGTAGGTAGAACATTTTTCAGTAAAAAATTCCAAGCGTTTTCCATTCTGACACTCACAGTGTTTTCTACAAACGGTATTCAATTAATGGAATGTATCTAAAATTCACATCTAAGCGATATTTAGTCATTCAGTTATTTTCTGGAAATTGAAACTGAAACAGTTTCTCCTTTGAGACTATAAGAATGATTGCCATAAGAAAATAAATGAGAATTCATAGCGAGCTATGATCTAACAGAAAAAATAAGTCAATAAGCGAGATTAGATCGTATGACGATCAAAAGATATATAATCGTTAAGAAGATGTGAGAAACGAATGAATAAAATATTGAAGAAGAATCGAAGTAGTATAGTGTTAGTGGAGGAACCGTAGACCGAGGCTTGCAACAGGCTGTCTGTACAACAATCTTAATAACATGATATGCAACATTTATATTCTAATCTTAGAGTCAGTAAAAACTATGCGCTGGGCACGAAGCTCTCTGTTCCACGCGTTAAAAAACGAATAGAAAAACCTTCGGAAAAAGTGCGTAACAATAAGGAAATGAAAACCGTCCACGTGCGAGACGAAAATATCGGAATTAGTTTGTTTTCCTATCTCTTTCGTGGTTAATGAGTCTGGCGTTTTTAAAAAATTTGATTCGTCGCAGTCGTTGCGACCCCGGCACTATTGTAAAACGGTATGTAAATATACTTATTATAATAATATATAGCTGCATCTGTGATTTGATTGTAAATCGTGAGGTAAGGAGCCTGTGTGAATGGCGCGATCAACTCGAGAAACGTTTCCACTTTCCTCGAACTCGGAGTCTACCGTAAAACTTCCAACAATCTTATAATTACACACTCAATCATATAATTACAATATGTAAGAAGCTAAGAAGATTTAAAAAAAAAAAAAAAGAAAAAAATCGATACTTGAAATTTCGATATTTATATTCAATAATTAAATATTTCTATGTTTAAATCAATGAAATAAGAAATAAAAGGAAAGAATAAAATTGAAACGATGATCTGGTTAATAGAAAAGAAAGAAGGTCGAGAATTTTGAAAATTACTACTTAGGTAATAATAATTTGAATAACTATGAAATTGATGGAAATTTTAGACTCTAACGTAAAGTATATAGTGAAACATTTGTCGAGAACATCGCGCTCACGGAACTATTGTCATCTGTAAAATATAATATAAAAGATCCTGAGTTGTACTGTGTGGTACTATGGCTATGGAGTTCGGCGGTGACTGAGATGGCTTTATCTTTCCTCTTTTCTCTTCAAATAATACATACAGAATATTGTACAAGTTCTAGGAAAACTAAATATCCTGCAATGCCGAAATAAAATATAAAATACTTCACCTTCTATGTATCATAATGTCTACATACTTTAAGATACCGACAAACAAATTTAAAAATTAGTGTCACTTAATAAAGTAGGTAGGCTGATTAATTATACATGTCACTTATGTTAAGCAGTAACTTAACGTGTTAATAATCAGTTTGCATAGAAGTATTTTCAAAAATCCAGATATCTACTAGATATCTACTAAACGCATTTACTAAGATAATAAAATATTTATAAATTGTTATCGCTATAAAGTTTTATCATATAATAAAGCATTAATAAAAAAGAAAAAGATTCAACTTGGTCTAAAAGATTGATTAAAGATTGTAAAATATATGATTAACGTTATTAAATAATAAATTGCTGGTCGATAAACCAATACATTTTATAAAATAATACTCTATAAATCACTTGGGACAAACTATTCCGTTATTTCTAAATTAGTAATATATGTTTTCTAAGCATATAGTTAATTTGTAATATCAATACGTTAAAGTTTCAAATATATCATTGTTTAACAAAGACAAAATGAGAATAATAAAAATAATAATACTGTTTACGAGAAATTCACTTAATGGAGAAACCAATATTTCAAAAATCAATACCATTAAAAATAATTGGTTAATGTAGTAAACATGACAGCGGTGAAAGTAAAATACAGAAATGCAATGTTTTATGGTGATGTTAAAAAGTAATTTCAAAGAATTAAAAGAAATTCCAAAGAAGTTGGATTGTACGTAATTTGCTAAAACTATGGAGAAAAGTGATAAATTCAGCTCTGTAATATCACATTAGAGCGTATAAAAAAATTAGCAAGAAAAGCCATCTCGGGCACAGGCCTCTTATAATATATTAAATTCAATCTGCTGCATCACGGTGGTTTCCCATCGATAACTGTCAATAATAAATCCTCTGTAAATCTGCTTGAGCTGTAAAATCGGTTGGCTGTCTATTGCACCGTTAAACTGCTATGCGGTGAAAAATATATTATAATATGTTCGTACGTCATCCTGGGAGTTTCTGTGCGTGTCACCCAGTCGTGTGACGCAATCGATAAAGTAAATATAATCCTCTGTAAGAATATAATATCGTTGTAAATATCTGTAGTCTGTATAACACTGTATAGCATCAAATAAAACAACAAGTTATCCTGGCTCGCGGAATAATCAGTACGAGGTGGGATGGCTGTTCCACTTGCGGCGGTTATTTGTGATTTCTCTCTTGTTTCTTCTTTTGTTTAAGGAATATTCTCGCATTTCCTTACGACGAATAGGCACGGCACCTTTTGCGAATTGTCCTTCGGAGGACTATTGTTTCATTAGTTATTGTAAGACACTGTGAAAAGATTATTCTATGGAGCAAAGTGCTGTATGATGGATAGCTCAGAAGCTAATTTTAGTAGTCGTTTCGTTAAAAATCTTTAGAGCAGAATTTCGCAGTTTCAGTTGCGAATGATTTGTAGCTAAAAAAAATGAATCTTACTAGTATTAGTAGCAAAAGAAAAAATTCTTTTTGCTGTAAAAAAAATCATACAAGAATATTGTTGCACTGAACAAATTAAGAATACTGTTTACAAAGAGAATATGAATTCAAGCTCTGTTGCCAATTTTTGCTTCCGAATATTTCTATATATTTTTCAATACTTCTGTGCTTTTATTAAGCTGTAATAGTAACTTATATCTTCTTTTAATATATACACTAATAAATAATTTCTTTATTAAGCTATAATAAAGAGACCCTGAATTCTTAATGCACTTAGTTTTAAAAATAATATTCATATCTTAATAAATATTATTATTCAAAACGTAAAAACTTTATATTCTTTTACATGTAATAAATTTATCAATACTTCGAAAAATATATTGCATATGCATTATATAATCTGTTACTTTTATATATTAGAAAAATATAATTAAGAAAACAATAAAAAAAATAATTTGATGCTTATGATAAAACAAATAATGAAAATAGAATAAATTAGAAAGAATAGAACTAAAAAAGTTAAAAGTAAAAAATATCATTGTTCGCTGATTAATATTTAAAATTTCATTCCATTCGTTCATACTCGTATCATACTCTAAAGACTTTTAATAATCATTACTACTATATCACTTATTATAAATAAACACAAAATATTCGAATTATATTTTTATACAAAAAAATAAAAGCAAGATATGGTTAATTTATACCTATTAAAAATAGGAAATAAGAAATTCTAAATTTAAGCACTTGCTATGAAGAATAGAGTGATTGATAAGTAATCTTATAAAAATATTCAATGTTAAGAATTCTATAAATTCTTAATGCTCTCCATCACAGCACACACCCTTAATCTCTTCACTGCACCTTAATCTGTCTTCAAAAGACTATATTAATCTCCATCTGGAGTTTATGGTGGCCAGAAATTACTGGCATTAAGCCTACTCAACCAAAAAGCTATCACAAATGGGCCGAAGAAACTAAGGCGCATTAGTGGTATGCAGCATCAAATTGCATCATGCTGCTCTGAAAGTGCTTAGATTCGGCATTGGTCTGATTGACCTCATAAGCACCATCTTGGAATACTCTTGATTTGTTTTCCAGAGTTACTGTAGCTGTGCCCTCTTCCATAGAAACTCTGGGCGTAGAAAAGGATTTAACATTATCTGTTTGTTGTGCCTGGATTTGTAGATGAGTTTGCGCTCCAGTCTGTTGTTGCGCTTTAGGCTGTTGTTGTTGGTAGATTTCTTCTTGACGATGCCTGTCTGCCACGCTGAGCTCATGGAAGCTGACCAGGTGGCGTTTCAGGTAGAGCTTGGTCTTGAATGGCTTGTTACAGAGGGGGCATGTGACACTCTGAGGGTTGTGGATCAGGCGCATGTGCTGACGTAGGTTCGACAAGTTACTGTACATGCGGTTGCAGACAGGACAGGGGCGTGGGTCCAGCGAGTGCAGTTTGCGTAGGTCAGCTGCAACACACACACAACTTGCTCTAACCCGGTAGAGGCAGCACGGAGAAGGGAGTTAATTTTTTTTGTTTTGTTTTATTGAATGGATTTATGGGTGGGGTCTCCGATTTGCCAGCCACCACCGGACAGCAACAACCAGCTAAGAAACCCTAGCCACACGACTATTATATACTCTTTCTAATTTAGCAATAGGATCATTCTTAGAGTTCTAAATATCAATTTTTATGTATTACGATTATATTATTTTTTGTACAATTCCTTTTACACAAATTGTATAAATGTTTATACCAAAATTATTACATCTTCTCTCCAAAAAGATAAAAACACTTCAATAAGTGCCATTTTCTTAACCCATCAATTACAATTATATAACATTTTATTTTGAGTGTAAAAATATCAATGTGGTTAGATTTCAACGTTCAATTGCAACATTGAAAACTACCACCTCTAACCTTAAGTAAATGAGTCAAATAATTTCGTAATTTGATTTTATATTCTATTCATTGATAATAATTCAAAGTCCTTACAACTTTAGCCTAAAATAATCAAAAGCATAACAAATTAAGTAATAAATCAAAATAATATTTCCTGGATTTGTATATGTATTGTATGATTTCATATATTTCATTTATATATTTATTAGTGAATAAAAGATAACTTGTTTGTTTTATAAAAAATTAAGAAAAAATATATTGGTTGATCCTATTACTACCTGTCGTGCGTACAACGATATCGCGCGTTTATTAACGCGCACACATCGGAGACAAATGGTAAGCGTGTGTTATTGGGACATGAGGCGTGAGAGCTCGCGCTGCATCCTCCAAGATTATTATACAATGTTTCTTGACAATAACACCCTTTTACGTTTACAAATTTTCGCTTAACACGTATAAATCTTATTGATATATAATTGTATATAGTTGCTGTTACTATCACTGTTAAAACAATAACGATAAATAAAAACAAATAATTTTTGCAATTATAATATGCATAATATTTTTTTTCTTTACTTGTTCTGCATTCTACATTGTAAATAATTTTAATTTAACTTTGCAGTAATAAAAGTAAATACCATTTAAATTTGAATAGTTTATCTAAACGAGAAGTATTATAATTAAAATAAAAAGTAACAGAAATAGAATCATACGTTGAGAATTTATATGAAAATTTCAAAATTAATAGCAATCGAATTTTTTGGGGAATTAATCACTTATTATATTATAAACCTTATTATATTACTACATAATTTGATTAGTGAAGCCAGAGATATTAATCTTTTTTTAATTACAACACCGTACTTAAACACTGACCTTAACCAAAAAGCTTATAACAAAATTTAGCATCAAGCAACAGTTTTGCTATATATTTCAAGTTAGGGTGTTCTGCCATGGGATATTTATGAGTACACAGAAAAACGACGCCAATTAGATGAAATATAAAATATTAAAAACTTATAATGTAAAATAATAAACACTGACTGTAAATTAAAATAAATTCAAATTTTATCAATGTTTTATCTTAATTGATTTAATATTTTATTGGCTGATATACTCTAAAGTATTATAATTTAAAGGATTTTAAGGAAATAAAAATCATAAATTAAAATTATCCAATATTTCCAATTGGCGTAGCTTCTGAAAGACAATAACGGAAAACATAGAAGCAACGGACAGGCAATTTTACCAGACGGAGGGATTTTACATTTAACCATTTAAAATTCTTCTTTTCTTCCCTCATTTTCTCAGTTCTCATTGCTTAAACTTATTATAATTATATTTACAATTTTAAGTAAAACTAAAACAACTTTTGATTTAAAAAACTTAATATAAAAAATAAATTATAATTTTTAACTAAAATCAAAAGTAACACAAGCTGTATAATGTTCTCTTTTTGTAATAATTAATATACATAAAATTTATTATAATCTTTTAGTATCACCTCCAATTCTGGCAAATAATATAGACAGGTAGAGAGCTCGAGTATATATGTACACGCAGCTGACTTTCTCACACAACAGCCGCAAACTGCACTCCCCTGGATAAAATCAGAAAATCGCCTCCGAGTGTCAAATGTCTCTTCTTTACCTTTCTCTCTCCCTCTCCCACACTCATCTACACATTCTTCTCTCTATCTTCCTTACATTCTGTCTCTCTTAATGTTTGTTTCTCACTTTCGTTCTTCCATACACACATTCCTTTTGTTTCCTTTCTTTCCCTTTCTCTCCTACCGCCTAGCAAGAGCTACCGAGCTACACGAGCTTACCATTTCAAACCGAGGCTCTCCTTCTCCTTCCATCTTTATATTCGCATCCAAAAAATTCTGTCCGACATGATCGGCTAGGTTGTTGCTGTTTGTAATGGTGCTCGCAACTACCAAAAAATTAGGGTTGGGACGGACGATCACTTACCTTGTTGTTCTTGATTTAATTCCGTATTACCAGCATGAGATGGTCCTGGCATCCCACCTTCTAGTGATCCACCACCCCCTCCTCCACCTCCTCCTCCTCCTCCTGCTCCTCCACCTACAAAAATGTAAATTATTGTAGAAAGGTAAAAAATTTATTTTATAATCTTTATGAAATTGTAGAAATGATACAAATTTTAAATAATTATTATAAATAAATTAAATACTAATATATTAATGCATACACACACTGTATAATTACCTTGATAGGAAGGTGGATAAGATGGCAAAACTTCCATGCCACCATCGAGGCTAAGAAAACCACTTGGCAGTGTGTTGACCTCCTGCTTTGGAGAACAATCATCATCGCTTCCATATTCTGGTAATTCTATTTTTGGCTAAAACACAAAAATTATTATGATTATTTTTCCTAAAAACCGAGATTTATTCTAATACTGATTGCCTTTCATTAATGATATACATTTATTTATTGCAGTAAAAAAATTATCAGAAAATTATGAAAGATAAATTTAGAATTTTTATTTCACATATTTCCAAAATTTGTTGAAATTTGTATTTGTTATATGCTTATACAAGAATGCTTATACAAGTATATTAAAAAATATATCTTTGAATAATGAATATAAAACTATAATAGAAAATAAACTAACCTCAACAATATCGAGATCTTTATAACAGTCAAGTTGAACCTGTGGCTCAATTAATGGCCGTGTGCGTGGCGTTCCAGTTGCACAGGCCGCCGGAGCTGGTACTGGACTAGATATTTGAGGCGAATCACTTCGTTTGCACAGCCTTTTTAATGGTGGAGGACTTGAAGTTGGTGGAGTTTTGCTACGGTCCTCCTCCAAATTTGGTGAGATCAGCCCACGGCCATTTGATGCGTGTATGTTGTTTGTCTTCAAATGCTAAAAATAAAAAATTTAAATTAAATAATATATTTTATAAGAATTATAATATAATATATAAGAATTATAATACAATATATTTTAAAAGAAATAAGTAATTATTTTAATATCATAATAATTGTAGCACAATAATTTTTTGTTCACATATTCTTGTGAATTATTGGCACAGTAATATTTCTATGAACTTTATATATATTTTATATAATTTTACATAATAAGTAAAATAATTTTACTATTTAAGCAAACTTAATATCAATGTATCGAAAAAGTACATCACCTTCTTTAATATAATATTGTATTAAGTAATTATCATTAACATTAGAAAGAGTTATGAAAGCAAAATAAATAAGTAAAGTCATAGTTGGCATGAAATAGAAGATAAGGGGAAATGGAAGTTCTGGAAATACTCCAAGTCTATAGAATCTTAAACGGTAAAAAGTAGTATAGTCGATAAAGCGATTAGATAATAGGGTTGTAGAAAGTAAAGTATTTGATAAGGTAGTTTAAGGATACTGTAAGGTTTAAGGATACAGAGTCTTTCAAACCCTTTGGAGAAAGAGCTAATAAAAGTAATTACCACTAATATTAGTTTAAGAATCTCAAATTACTTATATTAAGAACAATGTGTACAACATATAACATTCAAAAAATTTTTAGAACATACCTTTTCGTTGTTGTGCTGATTATTTTGAGAGTCAGTGAGGCCACGGATTTGTAGAGACTCAGCAGTTCTTAAAAATGTGGGTAATTCTGCTTGAGATATGTTAACCTCCCCAGCATACATGAACTCCAAAAGTGACTGCAGGTGTTCAAACTCCACATCTCGCATAAATATTATCGGATGCTTGCATGGATTTGTCTATAAATACACATCATATATTTATTTAATATATATTTGCAGAAATAACTTTTTATTTTTATTTTTATATTTAATTCTATCACAAAACTATTATTAAGTAAATCAATACAAATAAAAAATTATAGATATAAATTGAAAATATATTTATTAAGCAAATACTACATAACAATTTATAGTATTTGACGATGAAAGCAATATTTATAAAAACTAAAAGTGCAAATAGTACTAATTTTTTCAATAAAATGATCATTAAGTTTTAAATAGAATTGGTACTAGCATTTTATGGAACTGAAGATCTTATTTCAAAAATTTATCTATATAATATGTATAAAATATCATTACTTATTGTTAGAATTATTATAGTTATCATATATTATTTCTCAATTAATTTCTTTTAAGATACAACTTTTACATAACTTATATCATTCAAATTATAGTAAAACATCAGTTAGTTTTAACTTAAAATGTTTTGACATATATATGAATAACAATTTTTAATACGTTTACAGATTTAATGTTGATTAAAAAATATGGAGATAAAAAACATAGCGATACAAAGAATAAGACACAATGAACAATTAATCAAAACTATAATTCTTGGTTTTTGTTAGTATTTATACTACCTTAATGTTTAATTCAGACATTTTGCTTAGCCAGACCATTATGTTAAAGCATGATCTTATACAAGTATATATCTTCATATGAAAATTACAAAATGCTATTCTATATCTCAATCTTATGTGATATACAAATTTTTGTAATTAAATATTATGTCTTTCAAAAATTTCAATATTTTATAATCATTTAATATAATCTACATTCAATTTTCATATACTTATTTACTATTTGTATTATCATTAACAAATTTCTCCTTATTTCATGCAAGGTATTAGAATCAACACTTGTATACCAAGATAATGTTATTATTTATTTCTTTTAATAGATCCAAGTTTTAGAAATAAAAAAGTAATTTATACTTGAATGTCTAAAAGCAACAGAATTGTCCAATTAATGACTAAACCAAACAAAACCAAATAAAGTATTATACAATTTATTTAATATAGTAAAGTTACATAAATAAATTCAACATATGGCAAACTATAAAGGAAAATATAAGATATGAAACAAAATTTAGTTTTTTATTTTTATTTTAATGCAAAGTATAAACTTCAAACTGTAAGTAAATAATGCTAAAATAATGTTAAAACTTTGTGTAATGTAAGAACTTTTTAGATGACGATCTTTTGCTTAATATAACAAAAAATTTATTCTATAAATATCATAAATATGTTAGCTCTTACATCAAAAGTACTAAAATTCAAATCATATATTGCTTACTACCAAAGAACTGTATTCCTAACTAGATTTTTATTTTATACTTTTTTATCATAACTGTTGTTAGTAATTATATAAATAATGCACTGAATTTAAGCAATTTATGTAGAATTTGTATAAAATTAGCTATGCTGAAGTCAATCTAACTAATCATCAGATATTGAAAAATAAATAACATCAAGGGAAAACTATTCCCATGCAAACTATATATGAAGATATATAGGAACATTACGACATAGTATCACGACATATACAGGAGAATTATGAATAAGAACTTTAATTTCGATTCGACCATATCTAAAGCAAAGCATGAGTCTCAAAGAAGGTAAGAATGATGGGTTAAGGTGAAGGGAGGGGGGAACATCGAGGAACTAGCACTGAGAGAAGCAAGGCGGGGAAGGTTTTCTAACCTTGAACAACTCCTTGAAGTAAGGGCTGCACGCGGAGAGGACAACCTTGTGCGCCTGGAGACGCCTACCATCGCAGGCTAAGGTGACATCAACGAAGTCCTCGTCATCCCTGAGGGCCTCGAATTGGCTGGTGATATTAGCTTGAAAGTTGTTCCAACGCAAGCAAAACTGCTGCTGGCTATCCGTCATTCTCCTCGCTCGACTCCCTTCGACCTCCTCTCTCTCCCTCTCTCTTAAACCGAGAGCCCCCCACCACCCACCCTCTGTCCGTCTCTCTCTTACTTTCACCTTCTTCTACTTCTGTCTTTTTTCCTCTTTTTCTTTCTTACTGATGGCAGCGTTATTCTTCCTTCGTTCCACACTTTGACTTCTCAAGTGTATCTTTCTCTGTCTTTCTTTCTTGCAGGAGACACTTCAAAAATTTTCGAAAGATATTGAATATGAAAGATTCATTGAGACGAAGAGGGTGAGGGTGGTTTCGCAGGTCAGGCCTGTTTTACTGCACCCTCGTGCTACTGGTTTGAGATGAGGCTCTCATTACTCTGGAAAAAAAATGGCAGGTGCAAAAAGTGCAATCGATGACTGAAGAGGAGGTGTGTACGTGGGGAGAATCGATAGACGGCTTACCAACATTAAGAGATAAATGAAATACATATTTCATGTATAGTACTTTTTACAAATACCTTTACATTTTTATATTATACCTATTTCGATTGGATAAACATATAAAAAGTGTCACTGCTCACTATATTTCAACTAATCAACAAAATTTTCATTTTTCCTACAAAAAACATTTAATCTTATTAAGTCACTAGAAATATACCTAGAGATTTCCATAATCTTGTCATTTCTTTCTTTTCTTTTCATACAGTAATATCAACGTATATTTGTAAGTAATGAAATCACAACTTTCAAAAAATCTATAGTACTTAATACTAGTACTAATGCCTTTAATATTAGAATACAAAACTGAAAAATTAAGAAAAAACATAATATATTATACGATTTTCAATTACATTAAAGATATTAGATTAACGTCTAGTAATTTTCATATTAAATTTAATATTTTATGGTACTATCTGGTACTATTTTTAAAAATAATGTGTTCACGTCAATACTATTTTTAATTTTTTTTATTGTAATTCTGATTATATATATAAATCTTACATCAGTTCATAGATCATATTATATACACTTAACAAAGAATTTCAAATTTACGAAACATAATATTTCTAATTGCATGCGCTTATACGGTTAAAACATTTTTAATGAAAATAAAACTGTTAATCTGTTAATACTGACATATCTTTTAAATGAGTCATTTCATTACATAATTTTATAATACATTCCTAAATTGTATGAATATGTAATTATTAAATACTTTAAAAGATATGTTTGCATTATTAAAATTTGAACACTTACTGTATTTAAAACTAAATTGTGATCACAGTGAAGAAAGTAGCAAACAAATAAAATTTGTAAATTTAAATTGCGCAATAATGTTCTAATGTAAATTCTATAAAATTATGGTATAAAATGTATTATTATCTTATATACTTACATTCCACATCTCCGAAAAGTGAAAACTTTGAATTTGTATTGTAAGAGAATATAGAAAATATTTCCGTGATTGCAGATAGTTTCTCCAACTCCCGTCGTATTCTAAATTAAACCAAATTTTACCACCCATTATATGATCGTCTTCATAGCTTCGAACAGTTTCGGGCCGTCATGGACGCCCGAATTTTGTTCACAAAATAACTTTTTTTAAATTTTTTCGTCACACTATCGCGGTATATGTGAGAGAGATTGTATAAAAACATGATAATTACGGAAAACTGACAGTTATGTGATGCAAGTGAAAAATGTCAAAAAGACAGGTGAGTCAATCTTCTCTGTTTTTTATTATATTTTCATGTATTTTCAGTGTATCATTTTCATTTCTCAAAAATTTAGTCACCAACATTTAAACAAGAAGAAATTAATACATTCAATAGTGAAATTCGATGGAAAATGAATGATTATTGTTTTTAACCTCGTTTTGAAAGGTTACTGCGGGCGACTCAATCGATACATTGTCCTCGAATTTCGTTTTCCTGAGTAACCAGTATAACTAATTGCTTGTTAAACACATGAGATTTTTATTAGAATTACCGAGAGCTTTTTACAAGGAGGAAATATTCTGATTTTTCTATTAAAATTTATATCTAATGAACAAAAGTTAATCGTAACCTTCATTAAGTTAACCTTCAAAATACACTTTTTAAAATTTTATTTAATGTCAGTGAAATGTAATTGATATTTCTTGTTTATATTATATAATCTTAAATTTTATGAAATGAAATAAGTATCATTAAATAGAATGTTCTTTTATGTTTTTAAATGTAAAGTAATTTAAACTCAATTTGTTAGTAGCCCAGTTTCAAAGTATTATTGTTCTTAAATATAGTTAAAACAAAAGATTGAGAAAATAGTGGAAACAGAGATATTGTCTGCTTTCTTTTCTTACTATATTATAAAATATTCTATAAAGTCTGAACATAACAATGTGTGTAAATTATTATTTAGTTTATTTAATGTACAACAGTGAATTTATATTAAATACTATTACATTAGTATTATAATTACATAAAAGTTGAGAAAAAAGCATAGTTTAAGAAATTAAAATATATGTGACATTTTCTTATTAATTTTATTGTAATTCTTGTTTTTAAGTTAAAGAATACTATGTATTGCTTTTGGTTTTATTTTTAAAAAATAGTTTTAGTTATTATGTTGATATTATTTGACATTATTTAAATATTTTGATATATTATATATAATTATAATTATAATGATAAAACTAATTATATAGATTTAAAAATTCTATTACTCAGTTATTAAATTGATAAATGCATTTTATATTTAAATAGTTTATATATTTCCATGTTTTGTTGTTTTTTTTCCATTGATTCAAAATGTTTTTCTCTTTTCTTTTCGTGTTATATATGTGTATATGGAAATGTAAACCTAAGAATAAGTGAATTTTAAGAATAATTAATTTATATTTTCATATTATGTTATGTTTTAATAAGAAGAAGTTAAAACAACTCTTTGTTAAAATAATTGTATGTTTTCTTTTATGTTTGCAGAATTTATACAGTGTGTTTTTTTGGTGATCATCGTGGTTTCCTTACTGGAAACCAAAAATTTTATACTACGTCACGGTGAGTTCCTAAATGAACTAAACTTACAAATTGATTATGTAACCTTAAACCATTAAGTAAAGTTATGAGGTAAATTATTGAGTATTTAAATGATTTGGTTTCATTAAATGTTGTTTTAGTTAACATATAATTTTAACGCTGAGACAGCTTATTTTTCTGAATTATCATTACTAAAATTTGTTTTGGTTGGATATTAATCATTTATATATTAAAATTCTTTATCGCATTGCTATAATATATTAATTAGTATATAATTAATTTCATGAATAATTAAAGAAATCAATTATAATTATAGAAATGTTTCTTACCTTCTGCTAAATTAAGAAATCTTAATCCGATTAATATTGTAGCAAATTACAGTTCCTCAACAGTTAAGTGTACTATTAGCCACCAATAAATTAGCTCAACTGTTATGCCATATCAGACAACGGTTATTTTAATCTGAATAGAGATAATTGTCTTAGTATTAGGATAGTACAGTCTCTGAAAGAAAAATAAACCGAGTTATGTTAGTTCGTGATTTGAAATTATTATTTATATATATTTCATCTTGTATTCATGTTGATAACATTACGAAGAGTTTATAATTTCATTTTAGACTAATTTACATTAATGTTATAAGATTGTCTTATGTTATTTCACTGATTTTTATTTTCTTATAGTTCATCACTTATACATATGCTCCTTAACATATCATAACTTTATTTCTGATTCTGGTATATAAAATTATTATATAATTTTTTTATGTATTATTTCTTTTTTTTATTTCTGATATATTCTCTAAATATATTTTTAAAACTTTTATTCTGAAGTGTTTGATACATTGTTTGAATCTTACTTCAACTCCACACCCTTTTTACAAAGGTTTAACCTTAATTATTCTTTGAATGTTATCCGCGAATTCCTAATTTTAGTAAATTATAAGGAAAGTCAATATAATCATTGTTTTACGGATAGGTGTTAAAAAATTGACAGACTTTTGGATATGATTGTACAGTTGTTATCGGCTCGGGGCAAGTGATAACGAGAGTGGAGGAAAAAGGCATTCTCTTATGTGAGGATTGAGGTGTTCAGAAGTTATTTAGAAGTTGACGAGTTATTCGTCCAAAACGTTTCCGATATCTGTGTTCGTTTTATTCTGTGACAATCCTTTAAGATAAATATTCAGTTTCAAGTGAGATTTGAGTGAAAGTTTAGTAGTCCTTGGAAATTTATTTCGATTTATAACTTTGTGTTAAAGTCGAAATTGTTTTTACAAAAATATTCACGATTATCGAAAGAATAATTTTTAAGCCTGTAATTACGTGTTGAACGTAAAATCCTTTTTAATACCATATTTACATATACGGAACTCGTACTTATTAATTCATACTTTTGAATAATTTGAAATGAAGAAGGCTTTACTTCCTGTCTGAAGGATTTTTTGTATATTTTTAATTCGTCGTTATCGTTATTCGGCATTAAGAGAATTTTCTCTCGGTATAACGATAAGCATATCTGGAGAAACTGCAAACACTGATTTTTATGTCGGGAGTCAGGCGTACGTGCCGAGAAAAGTATTCTTGGAGGTGATAGTTCACAATTGTTTTCAAACAAATGTTGCTTAGAGGGATTGCATTCGCGGAAGCAAGGCGAAATTCCGCCAGACGTATTTTAATACCTCAAAATTCCGCTTGCGAAAAGGATAACGCTGAATTGACTTACGATGGAGCCTTTCAGCGTAGTTTGGGATCGAAGGCAAATAACCTTTCACGATCAATCGGCGAATCTACTCTTGTAAGTTTTTATTCATGCTTGAAAATAATACAAATTAATTTTACACGAAACGACGCAGCGTGAAATACGACAAATGCCTCTTACTCCTGCTAAATTCAACATATTAAGATATTTGTAGTGTGACAATAACCTCTAAAAATAAAACGCGTTTCTTTCTAAAAAAAATTCTTCTAGCCATTTTATTACTAGCTTTGAAGATAAATATTTTAAGTAAAACTGGTCTCCCTGAAAAATGAATCGTTGTATAGATAATGGATATAAATATATGAATAATAATACATAAATATAGAAATTGTCGAAATTTCAAAGAAATTGTGAGAAAATCAATGTACGTTAAAAATAACGTTTTAATAAATGAGTTTTACACAATTTTTTATATTGTATGGTTGAACAATCATTGGTGTTCTTCTTTACGATTTAAAATTAATGTTATTAAATTTAGTATAACAATATTTAATATAATAATTCATAATAATATCAAGTTCAAACGAATACAGATCGTTATTAATATAATCGTAAATATAATCGGAATAAAATTTGTAAAGTTTGCAACGGATCCTCTTTAGTGATGTCATTTGTATAAATGACACGGCTGCGAACACCAGCTACATCCGGTATCTATAGTAATAGATGCTGCTCAAAGCAATTAGAGGAGTTTTTTCCTGACATTTCTCATACGCTTTGTTTCAATTTCTTTCTTTTTTTCTTTTTTGATCTTTCAATTTTTATTGGTATTTCATGTATTATTATTTTATGGGAGATTTATTATTCTATGGCATAAGCAAATTCTTAATTCTATTCAGTGTGTTGAAGCACTGATGTCGTTTCTTTAGGATTTGTTAAAATGGATATGGCTCAATTGTAAATATAATTGAGATAAAATTTGTAAAGTTCATATAGAGGAAGTATTAAACAGATGTTTGGTAGTGTGTTTTCTATAAGAGAAACAGCTGCAGACAGCTGCAAACATCAGCTACATTCATTTTTATATTTATTCCTCGTATACTTTTTCAATTTTCATAGGCATGAGTAGGCATCACATTTTATTTATTCTATGACATAAGCACTGCTGATGTCTAATTTTAAGATTTGTTTAAATGGATGTAGATTAACTGTAAATATATAATCGTAATGAGTCTAATAGCAAAAGGCTACATAGAAGTTTTAAAATGGTCTTCTTTAGTGATCTCACTTGTATAAAAGAAACAGCTGCAAAAACCAGCTACATATGGTACCTGCAGCGGTACAAACTATTCAAAATAATTGCAGAATCGTTTCTCCTGTCACTTTCATTTTTATATTCGTTTCTCATACACTTTGTTTCAGTGACTGTCTTCAGCCTTCCAATTTTCATAGGCATTTTCATATCTATCTTTCGTTTGTTCTATGACACAAGCGAATTGACACGCTGAAGTCTGTCAATTTATAATGCTGTAAACGTCGGTAAAATATATTTCGCGGTAAAATATGTGTAATTTGATATCGACAGACGTGGAAACGTTTTTGTCAAATCATCATATGGATAACAATAATAATACATTGATTCATTATATGTAGTAGCGATTTTTCAAACGTCTCGAACATTGTATAATGCTGGCGGTTTGTTTATATTCAAATTCAGCAAATGTAGAAATAAAAATATAAATAAAATATAATGCAACGTATCAAATTTCACTTGCACTTTAGTTGTGCTTTTAAGATACTTTTCTTGACCAGGCGTCGTAACTGCATGTTAATCTACTTTTCTTGACAAATACTTGAGAAATTAGGATAGAATATATGTATATTAGATGTACATATTGTGTTACGTGCTATTTAACACGATGCCAGGAGAAAGTTCGTATTTGCTTATTTCGTTCTTATCGCAGTGTGATAACGTATCGACGATAAAATCAAATAAAAATTTTCCTCAATATTTTATATGGTGATAAATTAGTAACACTTTCAAATATCTTGATTGATGAATATCTCATTCTAATATAAGAAAGGAACAATAAAGCTTATTTATAAAAATGATAGACGATTTATAGTATATTTATAAATTCAATTATGGTTATTTAATATATGTGAATTTAGTTTCTGCAAAGTAATTGGATTTAATCAATAGAATCTTCTCAAAATAGATAAGATTACCGAAATATTAATATGTATGTATATATGAACATCTGTCGGATATATAACTGATGATACAGTAGTTGTAATTCTGAAAATCATTTGAAATGATACTTGAAATGAATGTAATGAAACATAATTCCAGAAAATTTTCCAATTCTTTGTATTTAACACGTTGAATGCTACGGTGGTCTCCGGTGATGCAAGTTCTATTCAATTTTTCGTAAATTTTACAGATTAAAAAATTTAAAACGATATGAATGACTTCGATAACATCGTCAGAAAAAAGATGCGCAAGTTCAATACAATATTTCACAAAAATTAGATGTTATGATATTTCAAAAATCATAATTGCTGCGAGACAAATTTTTAAAAATTGTGGTATAAGAATTAATTAAAATTAATTAACAAAATTTTGATCACGAATAACCATTATAAATGGTTAAAATTTTTTTGATAACCGGTAATCATTATTGATGACGGAAATTTAATTTTGGTTATCAAATGCCAATATAAATGATCGGAATGTTTTTTGCTTACCAGTAATAAATTATCGACGACACAAATTTTATTTTCTTTACAAATTACCATTATAAGTAATTGACGTTTTTTTCATTGTCGCCAATCATTATCGACGAGGGGAATTTTATTTTGATTACAAATAACCATTATCGACAAAATTTAATTTTGGTTACCAGTTACCATTTTCGATGATCTAAATTTTATTTTTGTTACCGATAACCATCATCCACGGCAACAATTTTTTCCAGTTACATTCTACTATCGTTTATTGTTGTTAGCATTACTGATAATAATTAGTACATATTCATTGACAACATAAAAAATAAAATAAAAATATTAATAATATTAATTATGAGAGCTATACATTTTATTGAACAAAAAAGGGTATGAAAGTATATGAAACAAAAAAGGTATATTGTAGTACAACGTTAATACAAGTGTGAATAAAAATATTGTACTACAATCTTTTCATAATTAATAAATAAGTTTTATAATTAAATTGCTTTATGTCGTCAATGAATACTAATTTTATCAGTGATATTAATAACAATTGATAATAGTCGAATGTAATCAAAAAAAGTTTTTGCCATGGATAATCTGTAACCAAAACAAAATTCTTTTCATCAATAATGGTTGTTGGTAACCAAAAAAAAAAATTCCCTTCCTTTGTATCGGTTACTGATGACCAAAATTAAATTTCCTTTATCAATAACATTTACTGACAGGCAAGAAACCTTGTAATTATCCATAATGGTTATTCGTAAACAAAACAATTAAAGGTTAATATTTTGTAGTCATTCAGTATTTTGAGAAATTTCTTTCAGTTTTACTGATAACTTGCTTACATTTAAATAAAATTTAATTCTCACTCAATGACTTTTCCAAAAAAATCCTTGAAATATCTAAATGTTATTTCGGATGTCTGGCGTGTTTCAATCCATTGCGACTCCCAGGACAAAATATATATATATATACATATAAATAATATAAAATTTCCGTAACATTTACGTATTAAGAATATTAAAATATCTTGTATGTTTCGTACAAATGGTAGTAGGTTTCCCTTAATGGAA